TACCCCCATCTTTTAAGCATATAAGAGATACTATGCTTTATGCAAAGGATAATATCTCTTATAAGGATATTAAATCTATCTTAAAATCAAAAGAACAGATAGATAGTGATATTACTGGGGAAGCTAGTGGAACTCAAGCGGGAGTTGGCTTGTTTGTTAGGGGCAAATCCGACTCCAATTCCAGATACAATAATTTAGAGTATCACTATTGTCATAAGAAGGGTCACAATATCTTTGAATGCTATAAACTGAAAAATAAAGAAAAGCATAAAGAAAGAAAAAATGAGCACAAAAATATTGATACCGCCGAAGCTAGTGTAGCAACTGATGAGATTGAGGGAACTATATTTTTAGCAACTAAAACTAGTTTCAGATTAGACAATGAGTGAATTTTAAATTCCGGTTGTTCATATCATATGTGTCCTAGTAGGGACTTATTTTCTACATATGATTCAGTTGCAGGTGGAGTTGTCCAACTGGGTAATAATGTTACTTGTAACGTTATTGACAAAGGTACATTTCGGGTCAGAATGCACGATGATGTGGTGAGAACTCTCACTAATGTTAGATATGTTCCTGAGTTGAAGAAAAATCTCATATCTTTGGGCACTTTAGAATCCCTTGGGTGCAAATTCACTAGTGAAGGTAGAGTTTTAAAAAAATTTCAAGATGCTCTTGTGATCATGAAAGCACACAAGTCTGGTTCGTTGTATACTTTATTGGACTCCACTGTTATAGGCCCTACTACAGTTTCGGTATCAGACAACTTGTCTGATTTTGATGGCATTAAATTTTGACATATGCCCATTGGGGCTTTTGCGGAGAAGGTGGAGCAAATTTACTATATCAGCCAAAATTAGGCCAATGTGAAGATTTGTAATTATGGCCAATATTTTGGCTAATGGAGTTCATCTCACATAAGTATAAGCATCTTTGCAAAGTGTAGACTTTGTTGGAAATATTCTTTTGAACTCAAAAATATTGCATTATGTGGTGGACATCATTTGCACAAGTTGTATCTCTTCTTTTATACCTAAGAAGCCAAGACTTTTTTGCCTATAAAAGGGAAGGCAATTAGTTCATTTTAGACACACCAACAAGTCTTCATTTCTTATTTCTTCCTTTCCTCTTTTATTAAAAGTGTTTTGTATGAGAGTTAGTGTTGGGAAGCACTTGTGTGAACCCTTTCTTTGGAGTGATCTTGTGAGGTTATTCTCTTAGGGTATTTGGGATTAACTAGAGTGTTTACTCTAATTTTGTACTCTTTTTTGTACTCTTATTGTTATAGTGAAATTACTGCTCTCCGCTTGTGGACGTAGGTCACACTGACTGAACTACGTTAAATTGGTGCCTTCTTTATCTGCTTTAATTGCCGTTGTTATCAACTTTTATTGTCTTTGTTATTGTTATTATACCGTTATTTGGTTAAATTTCGCACTACCCAAGTTCCCGATCATAACATTCCACCTCTAATATAAGAACCTAGAAAAGAATTTAGCCATTCTAGCCAATTATAGCACTGAATTATATTAAGGAACGGATTATAAATGTGAATTAAAGAAGTTGATTTTTAGTTCGATTAATTCTTTTTTTAAAATATTTTAACTAATGTCAATATTACATCAATCCACCATCCTTATTAAGATTAAGTGGTGCTAAGCAAGGGTGGAGCCAGCCTTATAAATGTGGATTCGGTAGAATCTTATATTGATAAATTCATTAAATATATAGTATAAATAATTACTACCTGCGTTTAAAGAATTTTAGGTAGAATTTTTTCTGGATATATTCCAGCATAATATACTGGAGTTTCAGTATAGTATACCGGTCTAGCATAACATGCTGGAAGTTCATACACAGGTGCTCCAATCTCCAGTATATTATGCTGGATCGGTCCGTGTTGCAGCAAAATAGTGGCTATTTTTCAATGACTTTGCAAACGCTGGCTATTTTTAAATTACCAGTACGAAAACTGGCTAGTCCGTATTATTTTTACTATTTTAAGTGCTTTTAAGTCAAAATAGATTTTAAGTCATTTTGTAATGTTTGGATAAAATAAAAAAGTACTTTTAAGAACTTATTTTAAGCTAAAATGATAAAAATAAGCCGAAAACCAAAAAATTGAATTCCTAACTTAGACTTTTGGCTTGCAAGAAGCCCATCCAAACGGGCTCTTTTTATGAAGCTTCTTTTATGTTGCTCAGTTCCAAAAGCAATATTTTGCCCGTTATTATCGCACCTAATGATGGATTATAACCTCTTTTTGACCAGCAACCCATTAATCGGGAAAGTAAAAATGAACAGTTAATCTGACTTTTGTAAGGTCTTCCAAGTTGCAGCTGCCTTTTAATGGGTTCCTAACTAAGGCAAAAAACTTCCAAGCCAGATTGATAATTAATAATAATATAAAAGATAATAAACTTCCATTCCTATTCCTACTTCAAAAAAGCTAAATGCTCAGTATATTACGGCATAGTTAAGTGTATTACCGTTAACATATAGAATAAGACTTGATTTATATAATATGTTACTCCACATGGGAAACTAATAGTTGAAGAGTGAAACAGCCTAATAGATCACTTTTGTCCTATAAGAATTCGTATAGTACTATACTACTTTAGTCAGTGGTACGGACTGGTCGAGATGATAATGCTTCGATCAAAGGGTATCTATATAATATCAGGTCGAGGTCTGAAGTAAGGACGCCATGCTTCGAGCTCTAAGACCGATCAATGATCAGCTCGATATCAATATCGAGACCATAATCAAATCGAACTACGAGGCGACGCGAAAGTTGTCAAAGATGCATAGACCGACCAACGTCCACCCCGAATATCAAGACTCCGAGTCAGGATCAAGCTCGAGTCAAGGCCGATGGCTCGATCCAATATCGAGTTCGAGTTAGTATCGAGCTCACAGACAAGGGTCGTTGCAACCGCACTAAGGGAGTGAATCCTGGCAGGAATTAGGGAAAAAATAATTCATCATGGGTTCTCCATAATATATTTTTTATTGTATATAAAGTAGGATCCCTCTACTATAAGGGGGGAGGGGGATTATTGTACACATTAGGACATGATAACGAAAGTCTACTTCTCATATTGAAAGATCAACCTTTTGAGCATGTTTTACTTTATCTCATTCATTTCTTCTCGCTCATTATTTTATCTCTCATTCCCATAGTTTAGAATATACGCACTTCTGTTTTCTCCGTATGATTTGTGTTAAGTTATATCACACATCCTTAGAACTACTTATAAATTTAACTCTATCCAATTTTCCGGATAAACAACTATTGTAGTATTAAATTAGAGACCAAACACTATATGCAGATTATTTCCAATTTAATTTAATTTAATTTAAAGGCTTATAGTTTTGAGACAATAGGTGCACGGCTTAGTAAAAATATAGATTTCAAATATTTTATTACTTGGGTGAATGCGTTTTACTCAATCTCGCTTGAAAAGAAATAAACAGCGAAGAAACAAAGAATTAGCTATTTGCACTAATTTTCCTGTCTCACCATTCACCAACCAACTTCAGGAAAATGACCAACTGATTTCTCACTCGTTTCCTAGTTAGTCTTCATTTTGACCATATACTTTTGCTATAAATATACCATATCAGTTGGCTCACTCATCATCCCCAGCACTTCAACTTCTCTTCTTCCATTAGTAAATTTTTCAGTTTTAGGGAGCTGAAATGGCATTTGTTAAGGCACAAGCATTTCTCTTACTTGCAGTTTTCTCATCCATGTTATTTGCTGTTGGACTAGCCAACTATGACTTCAACTGGGGTCCTAGAACCTAGAACAAAACCGATTGCCCTTATACTCATCCACCAAATGCTACTCAAACTTCCAATAGATTCATTGTTGGAGGTTCAGAAAATTGGCATTATGGTTTCAACTACATGGATTGGGCTCGAAAGACTGCTCCTAATTTCTTTGTCAATGACACCTTAGGTATATATTTCTTTCTAGTTTGTGCTTTTAGTGCATGTGCATGTGCATGTCATTTCTTTTATGTATACTATATGCATGGATTAATTTTGAATCCCCACACAATATGGGAAACTTTCAGTTTAATGCCAAAGGATTTTCAAAAAATATTTTAGGTCGTGAGTTTGACTCCTAATGCATGACATTTTACTTCTTTTTAATTCCCTCGCGGAAAATATTGCCTAAATTCATAAGTAATGCAACATGCATGCATCAACATATATCGTGGCGGAAGCTAGATTTTCACCAAGGGATTCAAAAGATAAAATAGTAAACACACGAAGAAACTAAGGGAGATTCAACATCTAATATACTACTATACATGGGGGAAAATGACATTATAAACACAGTGTAATTATATTTTCGGGCGAAGGAGGTTCGGCTGAATTCCCTTCCGCCCGCGCCCTAACTCCACCCTGAACATACATACTAGTAGTAAATTAGTTTCTATTATCTATGCATGGTCAGATGTAGCATATAGAGTCTCATGGTTCAAGTATATTTCTAACCAAGTAACAGCAAAGGAGTATATTAATAGTGGATATGCAGTACTATTACATATTTACTGACTTAAAATCTTGAATTGCTTCTGTATATGTATGACAGTGTTCAAGTATGATCCACCAAATACAAATGGTACCGGATTTCCACACAGTGTTTACTTATTACCAAACTACAGGAGCTTTATCAAGTGCGATTTCAGGAGGGCTAAAAGGATAGCAGATCCAACTCAGGGTGCAGGGGAAGGATTTGAGTTGGTGTTGAAGAAAATGCACACTTATTATTTTGCTTGTGGAGAGCATCAAGGCATCCATTGCAAGACTGGGAATATGAAGTTTGCTGTGATGCCTCTCAAACATTGGCGCTTCTGAATTAAAATTGAAAGAGAATTGCAGGCTGTGCTATGGCTTGCAATTTGGAAGATGCATACTGATTACACTCTTTTTTTTGTTTCGTGTTTTGCTTGAATAAAGAGAGATAATTGTGAGTTCACTTTATTGTATTTTTCACTTCAATTAAAATGTAATACTGGCAGTTTTGGATTAATTACGTTGTGTTTTTTTAATACGTTGTGTTAATTTTCCATATATTTTCATGTTATGTACAATGTGTCCACACTACTTGCAACTGCTCTTTTTACTGTTTATTTCTGTGGCCATAGTCAGAGTGAATATCAATATCATATACTACTAGAAGTTGATTGTTTTAATTCCCAAGACACTCTGGGCTTGGTTCTTATTTGTTGGGCCTGGGAAGTGCAAAACTCAAAAGAAGGGGAGAATGGGCTGGATTTTTCTTCATTTTGATGTTATAACAATAAATTTACCATACGAAAATTATTGCAGAATTCACCAAGATAGACGTTCACTTAACCGCTTAAATAAAAAATAGCTGATAGATATATAAAATCCCATCAAAACGAAAAATTTTGGAAAATAGCCTCCGGCCAGAATTTGAAGCACGGTGTTCAAAATTTTGGGAAATGGTCTAGGTAATTTTCATGTTTTTGAAGCACAAAAATTCAGCCACAATACTGAATATTTTCTAGTGATCCATCAGGTATTGTGATAAATCCTAATGATCACCAGATTTTTTCAACAATATGGTTGAAAGCTCCGGTGATTATCAAGATTTTGGTAAAAATTCTGATAATTATCATAACTTGCTGAATTTCTTGGCGAACGTGCTTTAAAATTTAGCACGAGCTATTTTTGGAAACTTTAGTTATCAAGGTCGAAAAATCATTAAGTCGTACAAAATCATAGAAATGACACCAGACATAGATTGATTGTGTCCGAAAGGTTATGAATCTATTTACAAGTCCAATACTAATGTCTTGATTTCTAGTGGCAATACATCGCGGACCCATATATATATCATCTGCTAATACACGACCAATTAATATTTGGATAAAAATCCTTTCTGGCATCATTCTATTAGTGCATCTTGAATTTTAATTTTTCATTTCAAACTTTAAGAGAAAAATATCTTGAAATGTCATAAAATTAAAATTTTTAATATAAAATTTCAGAACAAAATAAATACTTGTTAATCTCTAAACAAACAATATATACTTGCACTCGGAGAAAAGGTACTAGCACCTCATCGGGCCTTGCATTTACTGGTCAGGCCGTAGGCTAAGCTCGAGCTCTGTAGATCTCCAAATCTCTAGCCTGAGGTCTTTCGGGTCTGACATTTTCAATTCAAATTCGATCCCACCGCCGATTCGATTCCGGCGAATATTTTCCGTTCACATATTCCGGCTGAAAAAGCTGCTCCAAAGCAATTAGCTGATCCCAGCGAAGTAGAGAGGAGACGAAAGTATAAGGAAAGTATGAGTGTGTTCGGAGGAGATAGCTGGGCGAAGGAAGCGCAGTACAGGAAGAGAAGAATCGATGAGTTAATGGCGGACAACATCAATTCTTCAGCTTATAAGAAGCTGTATAGCGGCAAATTCGCCTGTCTCGTTTGCCCTCACAGTCCCGTCCTCGACACCCCTCTCATGCTCTCTGTACGTACATACTAAAAACAAAGCCCTATCCTTTAGTCTCTTTTTATATATTTCTTTTTTGGTTATTTGAGTTTCATATCCTTTAAAACTAAAAATTTGATCTTGAAAATGTTGCTTCATAATTCTTCTATCAATGAACAACATAATCTCAACATGTCATTCAGCTTGGCTACGAATTTAAGTAAAAGACTAAGCCCCTAAATAGTAAGGCAAGTTTTAAAGTCTATCATTGACCGAATAGCGAAGTTAGCTTCAAAAGTTTTGGAGTTGACTATTCCTGTATAGCATCTCTATAGGAAGAATAATTGGAGGTTTCAACATGATCCAGGTTCATGAGTAGATTGAAGTGGCTAACTGAGAATTGTGAATAGAAATCCTATCACTAACAATGTTTTATGAGAATGAATGTTTGGTCTAGAAGACCCAACATATTCACACTATGAATTTCACAAGAGTGGAGATATTAAAAATGGATGATTTAAGATTGGACAAGATTAGAAATGATCACTTATGAGTGCAAATAGCACACAAAAGCTAAATGAGAAAATGTTGCTTGAGATTGTTATGCGACGTCCTACGTAGACCTCAATACATACCAATTCATAGGTGCGACAAAGCAATGCTTGAATATAATATTACATGGAGAGGAGTTACTTCAAAGACAAATGTTTGCTTAGCTAAGAATATAACACAATGGAAGCAAATGATCCATTCAGGCGATACCGTCTAGTTGGAATCATTGCTTAGCTGGCATTATTACACTTACATAGTTACATTAGATCCTGTGAGGAGCCTTTTTATTCTGGTCAAAGACTTATATGTTAATCTTAGAGAAATCTTAAGTTTAAGCCCAGTAATTGTCTTAGAAGATATATTATTTAGTACTGGAAGGAAATAGGTCAAAATAAAGTAGACTAGTTACAGAGGATTCACACAGCCGACTCCAAGTAATTCAGAATTTGATTGATTGATACATCCGGAAAACGCTTGATTGCTAGCATGTCAAAATCCTTTTCATATAATTGTCAATGGTAGAAGAGTATGTATGAGTGGATAACACCTCCACCCAAACCAAAAAAAATTAATTAAAGGAAAAGCATTTTGCACCAGCAAAACAATTATTGGACCAGCTATTTTTAAACCGTACCGACTTACTGTACATGCATATTACAACTTTTTAACGCGTGGATGCAGCATGTATTTTATCATGCATGCATTGGTAGAGGTATTAGGAAAATTCTCATGGGGGTTGCTAGTTCTCCTACCATCTTCTGTGATAATTCCTCATTATCAGAAGGAGCGTTACTTCTTTGGACAAAATAGTTTTAATTGGTCCAAGTGAGACATGGAAGAGAGGTAAAGTATGATTGTCTTAATCATGTGATGCACACTACTGAGGTGCTTCCTGCTCGCCAACAAAGAAGGAAGAGCGAAAGGTTCAGTTCAGATTGGACTGTTTGCAGTTGATGAAGGACCTCTACTTCCTTGGACCCAATATTGCCAATTGGTGAAGTTCTGTGATTAATTGAGCACAAATTCTACAGACATACTGGCATGCATATTTACAAATTTTAAGTACGTGGATGAATATGTATGTATCTATGTTTGCATTGAAAGGTGTATTAGGACATTTCTCATGTTATAATACTCGACTTTTGTTATGCTAGTTCTTCTACCATCTTCTTATGTGATAATTTACATGATTATAGAGAACATTTGTAGGCACATATGAAAGGGTCTCGCCATCGAGCAGCAGAGTCAAGACTTAAGGAAATAGAATTAGGTAGGCAAGATGAGACAAGCAAGAGAATAGCCTTGTCAGAATACGGTACTGCCACCTCGAGCACCTTGACATCTAGCCAATTGCGTAGATCAGCAAGCAAACCATTAACTGACCGCACAAAGAAAGCTGCTTCTGACATATTTCATCAAAAGTTGGAGCAAAGTACTACTTCTCGAGTGGATGAGATCAAATGCAACAAGGGTGACAGTACAAGTTGCCTAACTAATGAAAGGAATAGTCAATCTGTTCAAATAGGAATCACAACAAATCAAATTATCATGCCTCATGCATACGACCGGGAACGACAAGAGAAGGAGCTTAAGTTCACATCTGCTGGCTGGAAGCGTGATGGCCATGGGAAGTGGTATAAGGATGAAAATGTGAGTTTTTCATTTGAAGCACGAAACTGTGATGAACTTTTTCTCTTGTGTTTCATAAAGCGAAGCAACATTGTTTCTCATACTGCTAAATTATAACTAGAAGTTTATCACTTTGATTGGTGTTTAATCAATTCTCTTTATTTAAGTATATGGCTTTAAGTTGAATGAAGGATTGATAAGGTCCATATAAAACTAATTTTGGTTGCACTGTTTACTTGTTTCCAGGTTGAGTTTGACTCAGATGAAGAAGATCCTAATCTCTCTCTTCCATGACTGTTGGTTGAAAAAAAAGAGAGATTTTAAACCTATTTAATCCTTTCCCTTTCAGCTGTGCTTTATATAGAATCATGATATTCTACTTGATTGGATGCCAAAACAAACTCTTTTACAGGCATCCATCGCTGCGCATCACTTTCCTCATAGGGAGTTGAATACTAGTCAGGTCAACTTCAAGGATAACCAGATACATTCAATGTCTGAAAGTCCAAGCAATTCATAGTTATGATGCTTGCTCACGCTACAAGTTATCATTATCAATAAGCATGAGAAAGTGAAGTTTTTAAATTTAGCAGGAATGCGTCTCTGTATATGATGCTTTGGTTTCTGTTGGATATGAATGGTGAACATGATGCTTTGAATGAGCTGGAATGCAGTGCTCTGCTGGAACTGATTGAGCAGCTGAGGTGACGATAGTTAAGGGCCTCTATTTCTCTGCTACTTTCTCCCTTTGAATCCTCAATTTGTCTTTAGCCACAAAACCTGCACGGTGAAGCGATTGGGAAGTGAATTATTTGCCCTTCATTTTTGGCATCTACTCCGTCCTTCCTCAAAGTAGGTGTAAAATCACCGAGGCTTACAGTATAGTGGTATTTGTGAAAGTCTCCCACACAATAGGTGTGAGCAATTCTCATTTCCCTCCTTTCCATTTTCCGATCTCCCAATGTAAGAGAAAAAAACTAAAGAGAAAAAGTCTGAATTTCCTCATGTGTTGCACAAGTCTACAGAAAGTTTACTCTCTCCAGCTTCAATAGTTGATGATTATTGAGGCTTTCTTTGTCGATATTCTAGTTATGAAAAGCAGCAAGCAAGAACTCAAATTATGCATAGAAGTAGCAAAGAAATGTATGGAGTTTGTTTGAAAGTTTCAAAAACAAGTTTGCAATATTATCTTTTAGTTTTTGCTTACTGTGTAATAAATCGAGTTCTAATCTTTCAACAAATTAAGTCTGTTATTTAATCGAAAAAAGATAAAAGCATAATCATTGTTCGAAGGTTGAAATTGACCACTACAAAACAAAAAACTGGCCAGTGAAAAAAGATTCTCGTTTGAAGGGTTATTATATGGAAATAGAACCAAGACCAATTGAAATTGACCACTACAAAAGTACAAAACAAAATACTGGCTAATGAAAAATAAGTTCTCTTTTCAAGGTTATTTAATGGAGCATAGAACCAAGACCTCTAAGAGAAAACGATATCTTACGATCATTTCATTTACAAGAATAGAATATGATCCTAGGAGGATTTTTTATATTTTATTTATAGATCTCTTCATCAGAATAACATTTGTAGCAGTATTTATAATTATTAGAAAACTGATTTCTGAAGCTAAGGGGTCTCAAAGGGTTACTCTGGTGGGCACAAGGGAGACTGGTGGTGGAATGGAGAGGTGCAAGAAAAAGTGTAAACCAAGAAAGCAGCGTATCTGAAGCTAGTGGAAAGTGTATACGAGGAGGAGAAGAGGGCGAATAGGGAGCATTATAAATTGGCTAAGAAAGAGGCAAAACTTGCAGTTACGGCGGCCAAGACTGCAGCTTTTAGTCGTTTGTATGAGGAACTCGAGGGCCGAGGTAGTGATAAGAGGTTGTTCAGGTTAGCCAAGGCGCGAGAAAGGAAGGTGCGGGACTTGGACCAAGTGAAGTGGATCAAGGACGAAAAAGGTAGAGCTTTGTTGGATGAGGGGCTTATCCGTCGGAGATGACAGACCTACTTCCATAGTCTCTTGAACGAGGAGGGGGACAGGAGCATTGTACTGGGTGATTTGGAACTCTCCGGGAGTAGTTGTGACTTTGGGTATTGTAGGCGGATTAGAGTTGATGAAGTTGAGTGGAGGTGGAACACGATGGTTCCTGTATACAAGAAAAAGGGTGATATCCAAAATTGCAACAATTATCGGGGTATCAAGCTGCTTAGCCATACTATGAAAGTCTAGGAGAGAGTGGTAGAGCTAAGGATGAGGATGAGTGTGTCTATTTTCAAGAACCAGTTTGGATTTATGCCGGGGCATTCGACTACAGAAGTCATCCACCTTGTTAGGAGATTGATGGAGCAGTATAGGGAGAGAAAGAAGGACTTGCATATGGTGTTCATCGACTTAGAAAAGGCGTACGATGAAGTTCTGGGGGAGGTTTTGTGGAGTTGTTTGGAGGTTAGAGGTGTATATGTTGCCTACATTATGTTGATTAAGGACATGTATGATGGAGTAAAGACCCGAGTGAGGACGGTGGGTGGGGACTCGGACCATTTTCTGGCTATGATGGGGTTGCATTAGGGGTCGGCACTCAACTCTTTTTTGTTTGCTTTGGTGATGGACGTACTAACACGCCACATCCAATGGGAGGTGCCATGGTGTCACGACCCAAAATCCTAACCTGTCGTGATGGCGCCTATCGTGGTACTAGGTAAGCCGATATTTTTAAAAATATTATTAATACTTTTAACAGAAAACGAATTAAAACAGTTTAAACAATAAAAGTTCTCATAAACGGGATAGAAACTCAAAACACAACGCGGAAATTCCCAACTATCGAGGTGCCACAGAGTACATGAGCATCTATACAGTACAAGTCTGGAAAATACTGTCTATGACAGTCTGAAACTAAATACAATAAGTGGAAAGATAGGGAAGGAGAGACAAGGTCTGCGAAACGCCAAGCAACTACCTCGATAGTCTCCGAGAATCCGAACTCCACAATTCAGCAACCGCCATGACCAGAAGCACCTGGATCTGTACACAAGGTGCACGGTGTAGCGTGAGTACAACCAACTCAATAAGTAACAAATCTAACATTTGGACTGAAAGGTAAAGACGAACTCAGCAGGTACAGTTCAACGTAGAAATACAGTACAGGAATGTAGGCATGCTTCCAAGTTCAATAGTTAAACTCAATTCAAGTAAAATAGATCAAATTCTGAATGATATGAGGAGTATGGCCTCTCTACATCTACATGCCAATGCACGTGATGTATGCAATGCACCACACTGAAATTCTCGTGTACTCACACTCTCAGANATATATATACCTCGACTGACAGTCAGTCACTCAGTACTGTATAAGACCAATCCAACCCAGGGGAAGATTCATCCCAGAATATAAATGATTCGAATAAGATCCATGTCCAGGGAAGATCCATCCCTCAAATAATCAACTGCGCTCATTGGGGGTGTGTACAGACTCCGGAGGGGCTCCTTCATCCCAAGCGCTATAATAAGCCAGATCCAGGCATAAATCAATAAACATGTTGCGGCGTGCAGTCCGATCCCATAATTGTCACTCTCAATCAGGACCTCGGCCTCACTCGGTCATCAATCTCTCCAGTCTCTCTCTCTCTTGAGCTCACAGTGTCGTGAAACTAGCCCAAAATGATAATATGACATAGCAACAAATAGCAACAGAGACTGAGAAATAATATGAAATGAATAAATATGACTGAGTATAAAATGTCAATGTAATCAATAAGTCAATAGCAAGGAAATGACCACTATGGGTCTCAATAGTACCAGCAATAGCCTAAACATGATTTCTAGCATGATTGACAACTCAATTACTTATCACGTGATGAAAACACGGAATATCAACAAGATAAATCCACTATACAATTCCATGGAATCGACTAGGTCACAGTTCTTGCGGTGCACGCCCACACACCCGTCACTTGGGATGTGTGTGACCTCAACACCAATCATATAACACATAATTCGGGGTTTCGAACCCTCAGGGCCAAGTTTAGAAGTGTTACTTACTTCAATCCGAGCAAATCTCTACTCCAACACACCCTTGCCTCGCGAAACAACATCCGAATGCCTTGAATCTAGCCATAATCAATTCAATATAATCAGCACGGACTAAAGGAATCAATTCCAGAAGAAAAATACTAAGTTATTAATCAAAAGTCAAAAATCGACTCAAAAGCCGGCCCCCGAGCCCACGTCTCGAAATTTGTTAAAAGTCACAAAACCCAAAATCACATTCAACCAAGAGTTCAACCATACCAAGTTTACCAAAATCCGATACCAAATAGTCACTCAACTCCCCAAATCAAACTCTCCAAATTCCCAAATCAAACTCTCCAAATCCCTAGCCTCAAACTCCCAAATTTCACCTTAAATACACACAAACTAGGTGGAAAAATTAATGAGGAAATAAGATTATTGATCAAAAATGAGCACAAGGGACTTACCTCAAGAAATCCCTCAAAAACCCTCTCAAGAATCGCCCAAATCCATGCTTGAAATGTTTGAAATAAAGCCAAAATCGCGAACCCTTGTTTTAATAATCTACACAGGCTTTCCGCTTCTGCGTACACTTAACCGCATCTGCGGCATCACAGAAGAAAAAATCCACCCGCTTCTGCGGTGAACCACTGGAGCTGGGCCTCCGCTTCTGCGGTCCTATCCCCCGCATCTGCACAATCGCAGGTGCGAAAATCCCCATCGCACACCATCCGCTTCTGCGCCCTTCACGCCGCATCTGCGGGCACGTAGGCGTGGAAAACTCCTCGCACCTGCGACCACAGTCCTCCCCAATATTGCCCGCATCAGCGCATCCTCAGCTCGCACCTGCGATCAAAGCTCCGCAGGTGCAGTTACACCAGCACAATCCCTGCTTCAACCATGCACCAAGATCCATTTTCGATCTGTTAACCATCCGAAATCAACCCGAGGCCCCAAAGATCTCAACCAAACATACCAACAAATCTTAAAACCTCATACGAACTTAGTCGAGCCCTCAAATCACCTCAAACAACATCAAAAATACGAATCGCGCCCCAATTCAAGCCTATTGAAGCTAAGGAATTCCAACTTCTACAAACGACGCCGAAACCTATCAAATCACGTCTGATTGACCCCAAATTTTGCACACAGGTCACAAATGACATTACGGACCTACTTCAACTTTCGGAATCCGAATCCGACCCCGATATCAAAAAGTCCACTCCTGGTCAAACTTTTCAAAAAAATCCAACTTTCGCCAATTCAAGCCTAATTCCACTACGGACCTCCAAATCGCAATCCGGACATGCTCCTAAGTCCAAAATCTCCCAACTGAGCTAACGGAACTATCAAAACTCCATTTCGGAGTCGTTTACTCATAGGTCAACATCCAGTCAACCATTTCAACTTAAACTTTCAACCAGGAGACTAAGTGTCTTATTTCATTCTGAAATCCATCCGGACCTGAACTGACTACCCCGACAAGTCACATAACAGCTATAAAGTATAAAATGAGCAGTAAATAGGAGAACGAGGCTACAACTCTCAAAATAACCGTCCGGGTCATTACAGATGGTGCATGCTATTTGCAGATGATATTGTATTAATTGATGAGACGCGAGACGGTGTGAACGCGCAACTAGAGGTATGGAGGCAGACCCTGGAATCTAAAGGTTTCAAGTTGAGCAGGACCAAGACAGAATACTTGGAGTGTAAGTTGAATGGCGAGACTCAAGGAGGGGAAGGGGAGGTGATGCTGCACTCGCAGGTCATCCCTATGAGAGGGAGTTTTAAGTACCTTAGGTCTATTATTCAGGGGGATGGAAAAGATTGATGAAGATGCCACACATCGTATTGGGGCGGGATGGATGAAATAAAAACTCGCTTCCGGTATCTTGTGTGACAAGAAAGTGACACCGAAACTTAATGGTAAGTTCTACAGAGTGGTGGTCAGACCAACGATGTTGTATGGGGCTGAGTGTTGGCCAGTCAAGATCACTCATGTCCAAAAGATGAAAGTAGCAGAGATGAGGATGTTGAGATGGATGTGTGGGCACACCAGGTTAGATAGGATCAGAAATGAGGTTATTCGCGACAAGGTGGGTGTGGCCCCTATTGAGGACAAGATTCGGGAAGCGCGACTTAGGTGGTTTGGACATGTGAGGACGAGGAGCACATACGCCCCAGTGAGGAGGTGTGAGAGGTTGACATTGGAGGGCCTACGGAGAGGTAGAGGTAGGCCAAAAAAGAGATGGGGAGAGGTGATTAGGCAAGACATGGCGCAACTTCAGCTGACCGAGGACATGACCCTTGATAGTAAGGTATGTAGGTCGAGGATTAGGGTAGTAGAGTAGGTAATCTAGAGTATTCATAACAGTAGTATTGGCGCGCAGTCTTGTTTTCTGTTGGTAGTAGGTTTTTATGACTAACCGTTATTTGCTTTCATTGTTGATCACCTTACAATCTTGTTATTTTTATTCTGCTTTTATATGACTTTTTGGTACTGTCCCTTCTTGTTTATATTTTTATTAATGCGTTACTTATGCTTTCCTGAGCCGAGGGTCTATTGGAAACCGTCTCTCTATTCTCATAAGGTAGGGGTAAGGTCTGCGTACACACTAACCTTTCCAGACACTACGGTGTGGGATAATAGTGGGTATGTTGGTATTGTTGATTTCTCAATTATTAAAAAGATATTTGAAAAGGTTGTGGGCCTAACTCTTGTATATCAAAGCCACGTTGACCTTGAGATTTGTTGTGCTCTAACTACTACAGTACTTGTGAGCTATTGGCCAGATTCTCAAACTCTTCTACTTGATCCCAAGCAACCTTAGATTGACCTACTTCACTATATCAACCTTAGATTTATTATTCACATTCAAGATTCTGAATACACAAGCAAAAATCAGATACAGTTAACTCAAGAGTACTGAAAATGAGTGCAGCGTATGGATCATGGAAGTCACCAATCACAGCAGATATAGTCTCGGGTTCAGAGAAGCGTCTAGAAGGTTTCTCTGTAGACACAAATGGCCACTTAATGTGGCTAGAAACTCGCCCAGCTGAGTCAGGACGAGCAGTGCTTGTTAAAGATGAAGGTGAAGATATTACACCAAAAGACTTCAATGTTCGGACCACTGTTCAAGAATATGGTGGTGGCTCTTTTGGAGTTTCTGGAGATTTACTTGTTTTCTCCAATTTTGATGATCAGAGATTATACAAACAGCTCCTCTCTTCTCCAGGTCTGCAAAATAATCTTCTTGCTATTAATTGCTAATAGTATGAGAAACATCTAATTTTCGGAAATAAAGTTTGCAATCATTTGGAAATAAAGTTTATATATTAGTATAAGAAAATAAACCAACAACAACAACAGCCCAGTATAATCTCACTAGTGAGGTTTGGTAGGATAGTGTGTACGCAGAACTTACCCCTACGATGAGTTAGAGATGTTGTTTCCAATAGACCCTCGGCACCCTTCCCTCCGAGAACTCCCACCTTGCTCTTGGGTGACTCGAACTTAACCTCTTGGTTGGAAGTGGAGGTTGCTTACCATCAGACCAACCCCTCTTGTCAGATTTCCTAATTTGTTTGAGATTTTTTCATTTTCCAAAAAAGATGTGTCAACTTGATATGTATTTGGAAACTAGTTATTTTTACATTTTCATTCATCAACACATCTTGTTGTAGAACAAAACAACATTTTTGGTGAAATGGTACTTTTTATGCATACTTAGCTGATGGTGTGAAAAATCTTTCTTTTTCTTAAACCTTGTGTTGAATCAAATAAGGCCAATGATTTGTGATGGCGAGTGCTATAAATCACTAATCTTTTATGATTAAATTACTTAGAAAATATTAAAAATTTGTATAATATAAAAAGAAACCAGTTTAATTCTCCATATAGTAATAGTGTCATACAGATAGGACATAAAAAGTAGCAAGTTTATTTATTTTTCACAAAAGTAGTAGCCATGAGACAGATTGAATTGATAATTTGTTAATCATAGATTCGAGTCCAGTGCCGATAACTCCAGATTATGGGGGACCTGTTGTGAGGTATGCTGATGGGGTCTTTGATGGACGTTTAAGTCGTTACATTGCTGTAAGAGAAGGTACATATATCTTTAATTTTAATCAGTATATGTTTTGTTGTTATAGTTTTTATATTAGGATTTTTTTCTCTATAGTCTTGTTTGTTGTAACTGTATATTCTTGTTCTTTCCTGTCTATGATTAGATCATCGTGGGGTTGATGCACAGCCAACTACAGAGATTGTGAGTGTTTCCCTTAGTGGTAACACCACCGAAGGTATGTAAATGGCAAAGGCTTAGAAGTATTTAGAATACATTGATATCTTATGTTGAAATGGAGAATACTTGATTTGCTGCGTCTGCTTTTATTCATGAATTTCAGAACCAAAAGTGTTGATTAGTGGGAATGACTTCTATGCATTCCCGCGGGTGGATCCAAAAGGGGAACGTTTTGCCTGGATCGAATGGAGCCACCCAAACATGCATTGGGATAAAGCAGAGCTTTGGGTCGGTTATATATCTGAGAATGGGTGAGCCTTCTTACATTCTCTCTTTATTAGATGTTGTCCACACTGCAAGACGCTTCAAATTACTGAAAAAGATGAAGGTTTCCCTTTTGTTTCATGCACATTGATCCAATTTTGCTGTAAATGTTTAACAATTGGTTGAATTAACCAAATACAGAGACATCGACAAGCGAGTAGTAGTTGCTGGTGCCTGTCCTTCTCTCGTGGAATCGCCAACTGAGCCTCTGTGGTCGTCCAAAGGCAGGATAAGTTTTAAGCAGTATTCTGCTTTTACTCCCATTCTAAAAGCAGAATAACTGCTAGTCTTATGATGTTGAATATTGAAGCAACCTCCTCGGATTATTGCAGGGGAATTGTTTTTCATAACAGATAGGAATACAGGGTTTTGGAACATATACAAATGGGTAAATACATTAAACCTTAAGAGTTTTGCAAAATCTGTACTTTGTAGTATTGGTGATAGTTCATCTTTGTTTATTGCTTCTACATCAGATTGAAGATAAAAATAAGGTCCTTGCGATTTATTCTTTGAATGCTGAGTTCGCAAGGCCTTTTTGGGTTTTTGGAAACCGATGTTATGACATCATTGAGGGAAAAGACGAATCAACCGTTATTGCCTGCAGCTACAGGTCTCTCTCTCTCTCCATTTCAATAGTATCCCAGTTTTTTCATTATTTTCCCAACCTCTCTTGGAGTGTTCTGTTGACACTTCTAATAAAATTGGTTTATCCATTATGGCTTGCAGACAACATGGAAAGTCATATCTTGGTGTTATAAATCAAGCTAAGAACTCTTTCTGTTCAGTTGATATTCCATTCACTTACATTGCAAATATTGTAAGTTGCAGCTTATATCGTTGAAATTGTGTATTGGTGCAACATTCAGAAAGTGTAACAGTCTGCTTAAAATGTTGTTTAGCTTGCAAGTGGCCAGATCCTGTACATTGAGGGCGCATCTTCGGTTCTTCCTACTTCTTTAGCAAAGGTTATGTCTTGTTCTTTTCTGTAGTGGTGGCTTTTTCAAATAATTATTTTCCACAGTTTGACTTCATGAATTCCATGCTTTGCAACAGGTCATACTAGATGATCATATGTCGAAGGTTGTTGATTTCAGTATCATGTGGTCGTCTTCTTCAGACAGTGGCAAGTACATATCATATTTTAGCTTGCCCGAGCTTATTGAATTTCCAACAGTTGTGGCTGGTCAGAATGCCTATGCATATTTCTATCCTCCCTGTAATCCAGATTATAAGGGCGGTGAAGACGAAAAGCCTCCACTGTTGCTGGAAAGCCATGGTAAATAATTTGTACTTTCTTAAAGTTGTATTTTCATTATGCACTGAGTACTAATTTGGTTTTCTATGACATTGATTAAAGCATTGAAAAATTAAGAAACTAAGCATTGTATATTTTAACTATTAAGTTGCTGAAGAAAAAGCTTGTTACATGGCAGTGCTGTTGGCCAGTTTCACATCGTCAAAATATGAGAGTAGTGAATGGAGCTCTCAATAGTTATTGTATAGGCAAAGCATTTGTCGTCTTCTTATCTGCTTTCTGTCAGTAATGACAAGAACAAATTCCAATCACTGACCTTTCCACAAGTCTACCAAACATTGAGCACGAGCATGCACGTTTATGTTAAATACAGGGCTATCCAGATAACTGTGTGTGCATGTGTCTGTGTAAGTATACATATATATAGCTGCACAACTATCTGGAAGTAAAACAGGTAAAATATGGGGGTATCCAAGAGAGGAAATAATTAGAAAAACTCTATTCTCGTCAGTTAAGCCATGGTTTATTTTTAAATAAAGAAAAAAGAAAAACAGCAACAGTAAAACTTAACCCTGTTTCAAGGTTCACTTTTGCTGCAACTTCTAACATAATAAAACAACCTGCAAAGGTTGAAATCCAATATTAGACTCTAAATTCTCATGGTATGACATTATCCTGTTAGACTTCTATTTTCCTGTTCTGACACTAAATATACTATTAATTGCTTTGTTCTCACCATGCTTCACTAATCTTCTTTTTCATTCTGAGTATGCGCAAACTTAACTGATTTTGAACTGTTGCTCATGTATGTTACAGGAGGGCCAACCGATGAGGCACATGGAACCTTAAATCTTAGCATCCAATATTGGACTAGTCGGGGATGGGCATTTGTGGATGTTAACTATGGAGGAAGTTCGGGTATGTTATCGAGTTTGAGCAATTTATTTTCCTTCTAACTTCCAGATTTCTTAGATTCAGATTTTTTTTTTCAATTATTGGTTTTCGAATTTGTTAATTAGTTGCTTTAGGACTGCAATTAATTTGTATTTTCAGTTTTATTAGGAGTTAGTTATCATGGTCAGTCCCATGACTTAAAAGTAGGGTCATGATCTATTTCAGTTTTCTTTTTAGGATATGTTTTAAGAACATGTCTTTCTACAGAATTAATTGAACTCTTTATATATTAGTTTCTCTAAGTCATCTTCTTAGTTTCAGTTCTTCATATTCTCCTTGCTTCTTGTTGTGTTTAAAAGTAGACATTGTATTTGTTGGACTTTTGCATTTGTTACTGCTGATATTTGAGTTACCAGAATAATAAGTAGTTTAGTCGAAGGAGGAGTCTTTGTTTAAATTTAAATTTAATAGGATAAGTTAGTTGAGAGAGTTTAGGTTTTTGAATTTGAATATTTATTCTATTTTCTGCAGATTCTGTTTTGAAATTGGCTATCTAAAGCCTCGTTATGCTTAATAAAATTATTGAGAGACTTTTTCAATCAATACTTTAAATCTTTTTGCTGCTCCATCTTTTAAAAAACCAACAGTCTTCATCGTGTTTTGCTGTCATTTGTGCTTTAAGTCTAACAATTGGTATCAGAGCTTTCATCTTAAGGGATCTGTGATCGAGTTGGAGAAGTTATGGATGCTAAAGCGAGTTTTTCACCAATCGCTCCGCCGGTCTTTGATAGAGATAACTATCAGATATGGGCAGTACGAATGGAGACATATTTGGATGCTTTGGATCTCTGGGAAGCTGTGGAAGAGGATTATGAAATTCCAGTCCTACCTAATAATCCCACCATGGCTCGGATCAAAGCACACAAGGAAAAGAAGACAAAGAAATCGAAGGCCAAAGCATGTTTATTTGCTGCTGTATTACGCGGATAATGTCTCTGAAAACTGCTAAAGAAGTATGGAATTATCTCAAGGAAAAGTATGCTGGAGATGAGAGAATAAAAGGTATGCAAGTTTTAAACTTAATTAGGGAGTTTGAATTGCAAAAGATGAAGGAATCTGAATCAGTTAAGGAGTACTCAGATAGACTTCTGAATATTGCAAATAAGGTGAGGCTACTAGGCTCTACACTCGCAGATTCAAGAATTGTTGAGAAGATTCTCGTAACAGTGCCTGAAAGGTATGAAGCAACAATTACGACCTTAGAAAATACTAAGGATTTGTCAAAAATTAGTTTGGCAGGGCTGCTAAATTCCTTGAAAGCTCAAGAGCAAAGAAGGCTCATGAGACAGGATGTTACAACAGAAGGGGCTCTTGCTGCTAAGCACCAGGTTGATTGTAAAAACAAAATAAAGAAGAAGAAGAAGAAGAAGAATCAAGCGTCGAATGAAGGAGAAACATCAACCAACAGTAAAAGTAAAGGGAGGAAGTATGAAGAAAAACTACCCCCCTTGCCACCAGTGTGAAAGAAAAGGTCATCCACCATTCAAATGCTGGAGGAGACCTGATGCTAAGTGCAAGAAATGCAATCAGCTCGGACATGAAGCCGTGATTTGCAAAAATAAGGCCCCGCAACAGGAAGCAGATGCTCTAGTTGTTGATCAAGAAGAAGAGGATCAACTTTTTGTTGCAACATGCTTCTCAAGTAAGAGCTCAACGGATTCTTGGTTAATTGATAGTGGTTGCACTAACCACATGACTCATGACAGGAGCATATTCAAGGAGTTGAAGCCCTCTGAAATTTCCAAAGTTAGGATAGGAAATGGTGACCATCTTCCTGCCAAAGGAAAAGGAACCATAGCTATCAAGACAAACACGGGCACAAAGAGCATTTCAGAAGTTCTTTATGTACCTGGCCTTGATCAAAACTTGCTAAGTGTAGGACAACTACTTGAAAAAGGATTCAGAATTTACTTCGAAGATCAGCACTGTCAAATCAGTGACGCGGCTGGACATGAAATTTTCAGGGTGAAGATGAGAGGAAGGAGTTTTCCTTTCAATCCAACTGAGAAGGATCAATTGGCTTATTCCACCGGAGCAAGTGTAACTGAAATTTGGATCAAAAGACTTGGCTATTGTCATCTACAAGCATCGTTGTTGTTGAAGATGGATGATATGACAAGAGGGCTACCAACTCTAGTTGATCATTTACCAAGTTGTCAAGCTTGTCAATTTGGTAAGCAAAACAGGAAGCAATTCCCTGAAGCATCATGGCGGGCTTCTCAAAGGCTGCAACTGATTCACACAGATGTTGCAGGACCTCAAAGAACACCCTCCTTAAAAGGTAGCCTCTACTATGTTATTTTCATTGACGATTATACAAGATTCTGCTGGATTCTCTTTATGAAATACAAATCAGAGGTGGATGGAATTTTCTGGAAGTTTAAGAAGATGGTAGAAAATCAAAGTGGTTGCAGAATCCAATCCCTACGGTCTGACAATGGAAAAAAGTATAATTCTGAAGAATTCAACAAATGTTGTGAGGAAGCTGGTATTGTTCATCAGCTCAATGCTCCATACTCTCCGCAGCAAAATGGAGGTAGTGAAAGGAGGAATAGGTATATAATGGAGATGACACGGTGCATGTTGCATGAAAAAGAGCTGCCGAAAAGCTTTTGGGCTGAGGCAGCTAATACGGCGGTATTTCTCTAAAACCGACTTCCCACTAAAGCATTGCAGAATAAAACTCCATTCGAGGCTTGGTATGGATTCAAACCTTCACTAAGCTTCATTAAAGTATTTGGTTGTGTTTGTTTCTTTCATGTGCCACAAGTTAAAAGAGACAAACTCGATAAAAAAGCAATTCCTGGAATCTTTGTGGGTTATAGCTCATTCTCCAAAGCCTACAAAGTTTATGATCCACAAACAGGAAAGATGATCGTCAGCAGAGATGTGCACTTTAATGAGGAAGAAACGTGGGATTGGGAGAATAATCAAATTCCAGTCAAAGCTTCAGAGAAGCAAGCATCTGATCAATGGGAAAATGAGTTAGTGGATCATCCTCCAATCAGAGGTACAAGATTACTTTCTGATATCTACCAACAAAGTAATGTGGCAATTTGTGAACCTGCTGGGCATGAGGAACCACTTCAAGATAAAAATTGGAGAAATGCTATGGAACAGGAGATGTTAATGATCAAGAAGAACAAAACCTGGGAGTTAGTTGACAGGCCAAAGGATAGGAAGGTCATTGGAGTAAAATGGGTGTTTAGAACCAAGCTTAATTCTGATGGTTCTATCAACAAATACAAGGCTAGGCTTGTTGTCAAGGGATATGCTCAGATTTTTGGTGTTGATTACTCAGACACTTTTGCTCCAGTAGCCAGGTTGGATACTATTAGACTGTTGCTAGCAATAGCAGCACAAAAAAGCTGGAAGGTGTTCCAACTAGATGTCAAATCCGCCTTTTTAAATGGTATGTTGCAGGAAGAAATCTATATAGAGCAGCCAGAGGGTTTCATTGAGCAAGGACAAGAAGAAAAAGTTTGTCTTCTTAAAAAGGCTCTTTATGGCTTAAAACAGGCTCCAAGGGCTTGGTATAGCAGGATAGATGAACACTTATTGAGCTTGGGATTTGTAAGAAGTATGTCTGAAGTTACCCTTTATGTCAAACATAAGGTAACTGATCTTCTTATAGTTTCTCTTTATGTTGATGATCTCTTGGTGACAGGGAACAATGCGTGCCTGGTTGAAGAATTTAAGGAGGAAATGATGCAAGTTTTTGAAATGACAGACCTTGGGCTAATGACATACTTTCTGGGAATGGAAATCAAGCAAGGTTCTGATGAAATTTTTATTTGCCAGAAGAAGTATGCAAGGGAGATACTTTAAAAATCCGGCATGGAGAACTGCAAGGCAACAAGTACACCTATGAATCCAAAGGAAAAGTTAAGCAAAGAGGATGGAACTGATAAAGTTGATGAAGGAAATTTCAGAAGCTTGATTGGGTGCTTGATGTATCTCACTGCTACAAGGCCGGATATTCTATTTGCTATAAGTCTTTTGTCTAGATTTATGCATTGTGCTACTGAAATGCATTTGAGAGCAGCAAAAAGAATTAGAAGATACATTAAAGGTACTGTCGACTATGGTGTCAAATTCAAGAAGTGTCAGAATCTCAAGTTGTATGGATTCTCAGACAGTGATTGGGCTGGATCCTTTGACGATACGAAGAGTACATCTGGATATTGCTTCAGCCTAAGATCAGGGATTTTTTCTTGGTGTTCCAAGAAGCAAGAAACTGTGGCACAATCCACTGCGGAGGCTGAATTCGTTGTAGCAACAACGGCAGTAAATCAAGCCTTATGGCTGAGAAAAATACTGTGTGATTTGCATATGGATCAAAGAGATAATACAGAGATTCATGTTGATAATCAAGTTGCAATAGCTATTTCACATAATCCAGTGTTCCATGGGAAGACTAAACACTTCAACATTAAGCTTTTTTTTCTTGAGGGATGTGCAGAAAAATGGAGAAGTGATTCTTGTTTACTGCAAATCTGAAGATCAGCTAGCAGATGTGTTTTCGAAATCTCTTCCTGTCAGCAAGTTCGAGGTCCTGAGGCAACGACTTGGAATTTGCAGCTCCTAATGCAAGGAGGACTGGAGGAGTGTTAATTAGTTGCTTTAGGACTGCAATATTTATATTATTTTCCTGCAGTTTGTATTTTCAGTTTTATTAGGAGTTAGTTATCATGGTCAGTTTCCATGACTTAAAAGTAGGGTCATGATCTATTTCAGTTTTCTTTTTAGGATATGTTTTAAGAACCTGTCTTTCTACAGAATTAACTGAACTCTTTATATATTAGTTTCTCTAAGTCATTTTCTTAGTTCAGTTCTTCATATTCTCCCTGCTTCTTGTTGTGTTTAAAAGGTAGACATTGTCTTCATCGTGTTTTGCTGTCATCTGTGCTTTAAATCTAACAGAATTCAACTGTATCTGATTTACTATAAACTTTTTGTAATTTATCCTATACTTCAGTCTGTTCAGTTCTGATACATTTCACTCCATTAAGTTTTTAGAGTTTTCCTGTCCCTCTCTATACATCACATAATTAAGTCTTCACAAATTCCAATTCAAGGTTATGGCAGGGCGTACCGAGAACGCCTTCTGGGGGAGTGGGGAATTGTTGACGTCAATGATTGTTGTTCTTGTGCTAAATATTTGGTAAGTTGAATTAACTGTGTCCCGTACCTTATTTGTTATTTTCTCTTTTCTTTACGCTAGAGGTTTAACAAGGATACTTTGTGTATTAAGGTGGATGAGGGGAAGGTTGATGGAAAGCGCCTTTGCATAACTGGTTGTTCTGCTGGTGGTTACACAACATTAGCTTCTCTTGCTTTCAGAGATACATTTAGAGCTGGAGCTTCGTTATTTGGAGTAAGTCAATATGTAACATCAATTTGATATCAAGGAGAGCATGGTTTTTATTATGGTATATTCAGTGGTAGGCTCAGCCGAAGTAAAATGCTTGTTGCTGCAAATATGTACCTTGTTCTCACCCTGAGCCATCACGTGACCATAATGCGGAGGGTACAACCGGGAAAAAGGATAATGAGATGGCATAATAAGACGTTTAAGTGATGGTTAATCATATGCTCAATTTAATTGCTTTTATTTTATTTTTTATGTCTGCATCTCGTTTTGAATATAAGGAAAAGAATATATGGAATGCACCGCTTACATTATGGTCCACGTATCAGCTCTCTATGTCACAAACTTGTACCTCCTATCTACGTCTCTATTGGACTGGGGGAAGGGTAAGTGGTTTGGGAAAACAAGTTTTGATGGAATCAAGTCATGAGGTAACACGTTTTCTGCTGTTTTAACAGATTGCTGATTTGAAGTCATTGAGTGATAAGATGCATAAATTTGAATCCCGCTATATCCTTAATCTTGCTGGTAACACTGATTCACAACTTACTGAATAGTTACATCTTTTTTTAAGCAAAATTTAATATTCTTTTTCCTGACACAGGTAACGAAACTGCTTTATATGAGCGGTCCCCTATCAACTTTGTTGATCATTTCTCTTGCCCCATAATATTGTTCCAAGGATTAGAAGACACGGTATGCTACTGCTACTTGTGCTTTTCTTTCCATTTTGCTCTGCATTATTAACAGTAGGAAACTGCCGTTGTTGGGTAAGTCAAGGCTTGGTGGGAAACTGACTCCTTTCAAGAAAGAAAATTGAACCCCATTTATAATTTTCGATCTCAACAGAGCCCCAAACTTCACTTTTCGTTTTGCAACGAAAAGCTAGTATCTTGAATCAAGCAACTACACAATCATTGAAGTTCCTTGTAAGGAAAACAGAAATATTTGCTTACAGGTTGTCCAGCCAGAGCAGGCTCGAAAAATCTACCAGGCCTTGAAGAAAAAGGGGTTACCTGTAGCTCACGTGGAATATGAAGGAGAATCTCATGGATTTCGGAAGGTGAGAACTAAGTATCACGTGTATACAGATTACGTCTAGGGTGTATATTGACTGTTTACTTCTACCATTTCTTCATACTGATAAAGCATGCTTTTTAATGTGGCTTGTCCGTGCCTAAAGCAATCAAATAAGTGTCTGAGTTTTCATGCTCAAATTGAAGCATGGAATTCTGAGAGTTCCTAACTGACAAGATTTTTCACAGGCGGAGAGCATAAAATTCACTCTTGAGCAACAAATGGTGTTCTTTGCTCGAACAGTTGGACATTTTGCAGTGGCTGATGACATAACTCCCGTACACATCGACAACTTTGATTAAGTACAACTAGTTGCCTGCAGTTTTCTAACTGAAAGCTGCATGCTAATCAATCATTTAAAGGACTTAGAAATAATAGAAATTAGAATTGCAACTGAAAAGAGAGCATTGGCTGTTCTGTGACGCTGGGTTTGGACTTTGGAGAAAAGCTCACTTTTACGTGGAAGATCTTGTTTGGCAAGGTTGGTTACATGGTAGGGATATCTTAGCCTCATTTATAGATAGTAACTTTTAAGTCTTTGTAGTCAGCAATTACCATTTCCATCAAATCTTGGGTTATGCAACTCAAATAAAGGACTTATAGTACGCCCTCCTCCCCCCCTCACAATCTCCATATAGATAGATGGTGGTAGAGAATAAAGACTATCAACTGTGCTGTGTTGTAATATGAATTCTGTTTAAACTCTAGCCTTTTCTTACTAACCAGGATGTAACGTACTTAAATATGAAATTGTCGAGCGAAAGGTTGAGATCTCAAAGCTCTTTGACCAAACACTATTTGGATAGTACTCTAAGGGCTCATTTGGTACGAGGGATAAGGGATTATTAGTTCCGGAATTAAATTTGAGATGAGTTTATCCCACGTTTGGTTGGGATAAAATCGTGGTATAACTAATCCGGAGATTAGTTATCCCGGAATTGTAGTGTTATTTATCCTATGGGAGGATGGAATAACTAATCCCGGATAATTAATCAAGTTTCTCAACCAAACGATCCCTAACAATTTCATTATCCTGTCTGTTATGATTAGCAACCAGTTATAATCAGGGGCGGAGGCACAAGCCGGCCTACGGGTTTGACTGAACCCAGTAGCTTTTGCTCAAACAATGTATTTGATGATTTAAATTTATGAAATGTGTATAAATATTAAATCTACAACCCAGTCATTAATACTTGAAGTCGTGGTCCCAAAATCCAGAACTCATAAGATTGAAATTCAGGTTCCGCCTGTTATAATTTACAAAAGAGATACTCAGACTAGTCATACAAAAGTAACTACTTACTATTTTGGTTAGTATTTTCTTATTCTCCTCGATTTGCTTGTTTTTGTCAAATACAACTAAATCTACGTAGATTCTGAAAATACGTACACTGAAAATCTCATAAAAATATTTATAGTCGAAGAAACCAAGTATAAAATATAAGAATTAACAAATTCATAAGAACAATACTTTAGATAAATGTCTAGAATTATATAAGTTTGGCAAATGGAATCAACCGTCTGGATAGTTTGGTAATACTGTTTGCTTAATTTTCCTTTTGGGTATAACAGAAATATTCTAGTTTTAGTTGGACCTCTATTTACTCTCTTAACTTTTACTTCCTAATTAGTGTATTGCCGCTAAAGTTTGTTCTCTCCAAGACTCCAACTACAGACAACTATAACCAACCAAAGTCCATATGAAAAAGATTTTATCTTACCATTTACCATGTACGGAATTCTCCTCAGTAAATTTTCTGAGGAATCATCTTCTTGAATGATAAATATCATTATACTAAGCTCAAACTACCGTCAGGACTATCGAATATGTATTCATATATTGGCCTTAATCCCTCTTCCAAAAAAGACAAGGAAAAAAGGGAATTGCAGCTTCAGTTCCTCGATTATCTATGGCTAAGACATTAATAACAAAGCTTAACACTTGAAAACGAATTTGGCCACTTGTTTCGAAACAAAAGCCACCTGTGTGTAAAAAGTTGTTTCTGCCATTACTCATAGCTTGATCCTACCCTGTTAATTGTATGAAGTTAATCAAAGATAAAATGCTGAACAGAGACAAATAAGAGAGAAGGTAAGAAAAACATGAGACGAATAAGTTCGCTACTCATCAAACATAAAGGCAATACAGCTACAAATCCTCATCAAACACTATAACCTGTAAACCAATTTAAATAACACACCAAAAAATTAAAAATATAAAAAGTTGGCCAAACTCTAACTAAATAGCACACTCAGACTATAGTTCAGCTAGCTAACTGGCTGCTGCTGGTGATTGCCATAGCCATTAGAAGATGCCCCATAAACTGCTCCAGCAGCATACATGCTAGAATCTTGACTTTGCGATGCACCATATCCGTACCCCCCATAATTTTGCCTTCCATAATAACCCCCATTCCACTGACTACCAGAATCGGTCCTCAACTGAACAAAACAGAGTAAATATAAGTTGAATATACAGATGTTGTATGGAGAACCTTCATGTAATCTAAAATCCAAAAATACAGGCCAACTATTAATAAAGAGCTAAGATGCATAAATTGTCACTTTTAAGCTCTAAAAATTCCAATTACATAATAGTTGGAAAAACCAAGAAATAGTAAGGGGCCAACTTGGTTTTGAGACAAGTTATGCAGAGATTAATAGTGCATGAATTAAAATATTGGGATTAGTAATGTAGGGATTTGTATGCTGAGATAATAATGCAGAAATTAGTAACGCATAAGTTGTATTGGAGAGATTACAAATGTGTTTTGTTTTATTTTGGAAAAACAATTAATACATTAGGGTTATTTTGGTCACTTCCATGTATTACTAATTCCTGTATTCGTATTACTAATTCCTGTATTCTTATGTGGGGAGTTCCTGGAGGGAAGGATGCCGAGGGTCTATCGGAAACAGTCTCTCTACCCCAGGGTAGGGGTAAGGTCTGCGTACACACTACCCTCCACAGACCCCACTAGTGGGATTATACTGGGTTGTTGTTGTTGTTGTTGTTCTTATTCCCCCTTCCATCCCGCCAAAAATAATACATAGATTTCTGCATAACTTATGTAGGTGTTAGTTGAGCCGACAACAAAAAAGCCAACCAAACAATATATAGTATTATATAATGAATCTTATGCAAGTGTCAAAAGGTAACTTGACATCGTATTACTAATGTGGAGTTTTATACAGGTTTTATCAGTGTTGTTAAAAGCGACCGCTTCCTCGCTTAAAGCGAGAAGCAATGCGAAGCGAGGCATCCGGCGCTTCTCTGATCTGAAGCGTATCGTATCAGATACACAAAAGCGATCGCTTCCCCTGAACAAAGCGACAAAAGCGAGGAAGCGAACAAAGCGACAAAAGCGAGCGCTTCTCTTTATAACTGGGATGTCAACGTTAATTAATTAAAAAGGCTCTCTTTTTTTAACTTCAAGATCATCAAGTTTGGTCCCAGGTATATGATTTCTTCCTCCTCCTCCTCCTCCTCCTCTTTTTCTTTTCTTTCAATGTCCAAATAGCAGCGAAATGCTGGCGAATTTTTTTTTCCTCTTCAGTTCTTTTTCTCATTCTCCACTTCTTCATTTTCTTTCACTGTTTCAGTGATAAATTGCAGCGTAATGCTGCCCATTTTTCGTTTCAGTTATACTGCCATTTTTTGGCATACTTACTGCCAAATTTTTCATATCATTTATTCTTAGTTGTCTATGCAGTATTTGTTTTATTGTCATTCTCCTCTTCCTCTTCTTCTTCTTCTTCATTGTCTATGCAGTATTTATTTTAAATTTTATTTTTTTAAATTCCGCTTCACTTCAAAAAAGCGAGCGCTTCGCTTCTCACTTCTCGCTTTAAGCGAAAAGGGGCTTGTCGCTTTTCCTCGCTTCACGCTCTTCACAATACTGGGTTTTATCACATCTTGATAATGCAACCACACGACCCCTTATAGTAATATAAATAAGTACTCCCTCCGTTTCAATTTATGTGAACCCATTTGACTGGGCATGGAGTTTAAGAAAAGAGAGAAGACTTTTAAACTTGTGGTGTAAAATGAGGCACATATATTTTGTGTGGCTATAAATCATTTGCATAAAGGTAAATAGTTTCCAAATAGGGAAAAGGGTCATTCTTTTTGGCACGGACTAAAAAGGAAATAGGTTCACATAAATTGAAACGGAGGGAGTATGTTATTTTACAGAACATCCTCCAGAACCAGTGAGAAAGATTGTAGAAGAAAGCATCTAATGTAATCAATAATGAAAGGTATCACAGAAAATAAATTTTTAATTCGTTTAGGTACACTATTAAGAATATAATATATAATGTGAATTGCTTAATGTTCCAAGGCTATTGAAACATCAGCCTAATAATATTTGTAGTTGCTGCAACAGTTATCAATTGGATTACATATTTCTGCGAACTGAGTATGTAAATAAATATTATGGGAAACACACATTAACAAAAAGCATAGATATGTCAACTTTTCAGCATTTTGCTTTCTTGGCAAGTGGCTTATTAGAGATGCACGATGCAAGGGGGCTTTCATCAACATACAAAAGCAGAACACTAGTAGGATTTTCTGGGAAGCAATGTTGCCCTTCTTCTCATTTTGCTCAAAATACAGAACTTATGAAAACTTTACAGCAAATATGGAGACTCCACGAAGCAGATGTTGGCACAAGATTACTTAATATCTGAAGTAAAAGCTTTTCAGAAATCACATTTACCATTTTGGTAAATACCTGCTTGTTTGCTGGATTTCGACCCCAGGAAAGACGAACCGTCTGCTTCCCGATAACTGCTCCATTTAATTTTTGTATTGCATCCTCTGCTGCGCTCCTAAGGAACATAAGAGGCAAGTAAGTTACGCAACGTTTAGCATTTGAAAGCTTCAAGTAAACATCCATTGAAACAATAGTAATAACCAAAAATGCACTATATATACATGTGTAACCGCTTCAGTTTATCAGTGAATTCAAGCAGCAAGTTCATTTTAGTTTTACTACTGTTGGTTAGGTTTGATAATATGATTACCTATTCTAGTGATTTCAAGTAGGTTATGAATGATATATTCTACTATAGTGATATATTCTACTATAGGACCATTTCATAACCAAAAAAGAAATCTTTTTAATAACCGAGAAATCCCCAAAAGAGTTCTATATATTCTACTATGGTGCAAGGTTTTAAACTCTGCCCTAAGAAAGAGTTCTTATGGATCCAAAAACTATGTTTTCCTTTTCATTCAACCACAGAAGATCTTCATCAAACTGTGAACCTATAACCTGGCAGATGAGTGAGTCCATGGACCTTTTCTTCTTTCTCAGGTATTCAATTGCTAGTTAACAGGAAAAGCATTTTCTTCCAAATCAGTTGTTATGATCAGTACATTCCTCCTGGTAATTCTGGTTGCAGATTCTCTAGTATCACAAACAAAACAAAACCAAACCAAATAACAAATATGCTAAACTAATAACTGACCTAAAAGCTCCAACCATTTTAACTCATTGATAGTTTAGTAGGTACCAAAAAACAAAAAAACTCTTAAACTTCACCAATCTATCCCCATTATACTAATTTCCTCAGTTAAACATGAACTATCTAACATCATGTTTAGCAATATCGCTCATTACCTGTCCGAAAACTGTACAAAGCCACATCCTTTTCCGGCTGGTATTTTCACAGAGACCACATTGCCAAACTGGTTAAATGACTGCCTGAGTTCATCGTCGGTAACATCAGAGTCAAGTCCTCCAACAAAAACCTACAGTAGATCAAAAG